GCTTACCAGGCAGGTGCTTGCTGCTGAGCTATCTTCCCGGCTATTTATGTTTAATTATGGAAAAGCATTTTGATTATATAAAGGTGTATATATGTTTGTGGCTCTAATTGTTAGACGAGATTGTTCTGTATAATCTTAAACATCAATATGGTGGGTAATGGTGTGCGGGCTAAAGTCAGTCCTCATTGTATTGTGCACAATTTCACTTCCCTTCTTTGAACAATATAGTGCTTTTTTTTTTAGGGAAGGGCCTACAGGGTGTTCAGGGTCTCACTGCTGGATCAGACGCCTAGTGATCTGCCTATTTACAGCCTCCCAAGAGCTAGGATTACAGGCGAGCGCCACCACGCCCAGTCTCAGTTGCTGTCTCAGCGCACCGTGGGGGTGGGGCTGGCAGGGCAGGCCCTGGAATTGAATCCGACGCTTTAATCCGCCGAGCTCTTTGGCCTACCTGACAGTATAGTTCTTGACTGGGACTGAAGTGGCCGCTTTCTCTGGTTTGACCACGCTGTTGCCTGCATCTTTTCTTTGGGTGTCGTCCAGTTTAGAGTATTTGTTTCCTTTGATGAAGAACATTAGCCCATTTCACAAGAGAACGTACACCCTTCCCCAGTGATGACCTCACTAGGAAGACGTTTCGTGTTTACTTTGTTTATGGGATCGTGGCTGGCTCTGAAGCTCAGGCTGGCCTCAAGCCTGTGCTCCTCCTGCCATCACCTCCCAAGTGCAAGGATTGCAGGTGTGCACCAGCACACCCTCTTCTGTTGTGTTTTTATGAATTTTATTTGAAAATGAAGCCAGGTTCATTTGTTTTGTTTTGCTTCCAAACTGCAGTTTCTAGTTACGGCTTTTCTGTTGTTAATTAAACTTTTTTAGGCCAGGAAAAAAAATAGACATTGCTTTTTGCAAGTATTCTACTTATCACTTTCCTCCCTGATTTTTAGCAAGAGACCATTTGGAGGTTTCTCCTTTCTGAAACTCATTCTGTGGGTCCTGATTTCTGGAAGAGGGATAGGCAGGCAGGGGTGGGGGGTGTTGCACAAGAAGAGGCAAGAGCTTTCTGGGTACACAAAGGACTTGTCCACATGTCATGGCTCCAGTCTCTGCAGACAGCGCTCTGTGTGTCATTGCAAAAGGGAACATTTTCTTCTATCCATTGGGAGGGGAAAAGAGATCCCATGGTGGCTTTCTTAGCTTGTTCACATGTGCCATGGAGTGGGAATTCTGGTGCTGGGAGCCCCTCTTTGTATGGTTTTGGGGTCTCACTATGTAGTTCAGGCTGTAACTTGTTTATACAGCCCAGGCTGGTCTTGAACTCATAGTGATCATCCTGCCTCTGCCTCCCTAGTACTGGAATACAGGCATGTGCTGGCACACCCAGCTTAGCCCTCTGTGACTTTGATAGGGGTTGGTGGCTGGGGCTGAATGACCTCCTACGTTGTTGGAATCTCAGTCAGATGAGACATCAGCTGGTTCATTTTACACAAAATTATAAAAATTATTGAGAAGATTTATAGGTTTATGATTTTAAACTACAGAGAGAACATTAATTATATTTTTAGTTTACATGATTTTTTTAAACAAAGCAAATGTGTTCTTTTAAAATATTTATCTTATAGCTGTTTGAGTAACAGTGCAATTGGAACAACAGCGTAACATGCTGAGCTCTGCTGGTAATGCGGTCTCTGTTTCCCACAGCTCCTTGTTCTGCCATGGCGTATCATCACGACAGCAGGCGGATATTTGTGGGCCAGGATAACGGGGCCGTGATGGTAGGTCACTTGAGAATGTATTCTTTGGAGTCTCTGTTTTGAATCCATGTGTTCACTGATGTTAAATAGTTCAAATAAAGTTAACAGCCGGACATGGTGGTGCACAACTGTATTCCCACCACTCAAGAGCAGGAGGATGGATATCTGCCAGCTTGAGGGCAGATGTTAAGCCTAAACACGTGTTCTTTTTAATTGATGCTTAATTGTAAGCGATTTCTGTGGAGCTCAGGATGCTGTTGGCATGGTTGTCCTGGTGCTCAGGCTGTCCACAGAGCACAGCCTTCCCACTCCTGTCTTTCTCTGCTGAAGTCTTGGTCGCTGTGAGTGTCTCTGTGAAACTGAGGAGACAAAGGATGCAGCTCAGACTTGTGTAAGGCATTGTGCCTCACATTACCTGTGGGCCAGATACTGAAATTTTACATTTATTTTGGACTGGTGTTTTATAGGTCTAATTATATGCATAATTACTTTTTCCTTAAATATTCATGAACTGTACTATTCACTTTTAAGTGTGCATTGAGTGGTTTGGTAGTGTATCTAAAAACTAACCAGTGCCACTCTTTGTGTCCCCCAGAGAACCCATGCCATTAGCAGTCATTCCTGTCTTCCTCTCAGCCTCTGCCAGTCGCCGGTCCACTTTCTGAACACAGGGATGCATCTCTTCTAGACATTTTATGCAGTGTCTGTGATGTGACCTGTGTCTGTCATCTTCCACTTAGTGTGCCATTTCAGTGTTCCCGCAGTTGTAACTTGAATTAGTCATTTCATTCCTTTTGTGGTGGAATGGTACTCTGTTTTAAAGACAAGAAGCCTTTCATTAGTTGATAGAAATTTGGATTGTTTTACTTTCTGATTATTTGGAATGATGTAGCAGTGAATATCATGTGTAAGTTGCATATATAGTGTGAATGTGTGTTTTCAGTCCATCTTGGTGTATATTGGAGTAGAATTGGTGTCTTCCAGAATAACAGCATTGTTTCATGTTTCCACCAGCCATGTATGAGGGTTTCATTTTCTCCCCATCATCTCCAACACTTTTTTTTTGTGGCCTGCTCAGCCTACCCTGGGGGTGGGGCTGGCATGGCATGTGGTGCTGGTGATCAAACTGTGGCCACTGTGTACTTGCCTAAACTTGCTTAAGCAGGCGCTTTAGACCACTGAGCTATCTCTCCAGCCTTCCAACACTTACTTTCTGGTTTTGTTTTGTTTTGTTTTTGTTATAGGCCTCCTGGTGGCCATGAAATGAAAGCCTGCACTGGTTTTGACTTGTATTTCCCTAATGACTGATGATGCCAAGCATCTTCCAATGAGCTTGTGGACCACTTGTGTATCTTCTTTGAAGAAATGTCTATTTAGGTCCTTTGCCTGTTTTTAATTAGTTTTTTAAATGTTGAGTTGTAAGAGTTTTTGTACTTGCTAGATGCTAGATCCTTATCAGACACATGATTTGTAGATATTCTCTCCCATCCTATGTTGTCTTTTTCAGATTTTAAGTTTAATAAATTCCTTCTATGGAGTGCTGCTTTGAATATAAGACCTAAGAAACTATTGCCTAATGCAAGATCACTTATATACCTATTTTTAGGGGCATAAGTGACGATTTGTTTTCTTCCAACATGTTTATAGTTCAGTGCTCACATTTAGATCTTTGCTGCATTGTAAGTTATTTTTTATATGTAGTGTGAGGGAGAATCCCATACACATTCATTTGCATGTGAATACCTAGTTATCACAGCAGCCTTTGTTACAGGTTATTCTTTCCTTCTTGGATTGGCTTGTCCCAGAGTCAGGGAGCTAGAGAGCCAGGGAAGTTTCCAGAAGTGAATGCTTTGCAAAGGCTTGAGATGGATCAGTGGGCCTGTGTTCAAGGATTTGGAAAAGATCATTATGCTCAGGTGGTACTGAGTAACAAGGAGAGACCCCTGGGGCAGAGGCCAGGTCACGAAGGACCTTGTAGGGTCTGCATCAGGTTTGAGATTTTACTGTAAGTTTAGTGAGAAGTGGTTACAGGGTTTTGGACAGATGAATGGCATTCTATAACTTACATTTTAAAAGGATTGGTGTAAGTAAGTACTTTTTGAAAATGCGGAGAAGGCAGCAAGAGTGGGGTCAGGCTGTTGCAGCAGTCCAGGCGAGGGCGTGGTGGCAGTGAAGGCGACAGTAGATGGGTTTGAGTTACATCTGAATACATGTGGAAGATGGTTTTGAGGGGTAAGGCTGAAAGTAGGGTGCCGGGTAGGGAGCTGCCTCAGTATGCCACCCTGAGATTGAAAAACCCTGGGCTGGTGACAGAGCAGAGGTGACAGCTTCAAGGAAGCAGGGCCTGAGATTTCATGGGGTGCGGGTGTGAAGTAACAGTGTGAGAGGACTTTCACCCTTTCCCAAGAGGCAGAAGGATAAGGCCAGTTTTGGGTGAGTGAGCCTACACCTCCAAGGCTTACGCTGGCTGGTCTCTGCCTGCGGGGAATTCTGTGGGAACTCTGCAGGCTGTGAGCTGGGGGTAGCAGGTGGATTGAGCAGAGCAGAGTGCCAGGCCGTGCCGTATCCACCAAGGAACAGGGGTGTAGTGAAGGGAAATTCAGGGCTCAAAGCCTACCAGAGATTGGGGGTAGAAGGGGCCAAGTAGCAGGAAGGCCAGGCACTGCCACTGAGCAGGCCTGGGGGCAGAAGGAGAGGCTGGGGCCAGGCCATGGAGGGAGGCAGGGAGAACCCTTTGTGTGCAGAGGCAGCAGAGCCCCCTGGGACAGCAGGGTGCAAGTGACCAGGAGACAGTTAGGTAGCCTGCATGGACTGATCTTTAGGGAGGTTTTAGCTGAGAAGGGGACAGGGAAAGTTGTAGTACAGTTAAGAATTTTACTGTTGTTTTTGTTTTGCTTTTTAAATTAGAGAAGCCTTTTTTTGTCATTGTAGTTGTTGTTTAGGGGCCAGGAGGAAAGAGCAAGGAGGCAGAAGTGTGTCATGCACAGGAGGGACAAGAGGCAAGAGCTGCTGCAGAGCCTTCCCACGGTGATGGGTGTACCATGTGGCGGCAAAGGCTACAGCGCCCTTCTCTTGAGAATTCTGCAACAGGGCAGTGTGCAGATGTGTAAGACAAGAGGCCGTCGCGTTCAGGGCCAGGTTGTTTCCCCGAGGTGGCCGTGGTCCTGCATCTCTCGCCAGGAGCCTTTCTCATGGGTTTTGATAAAGGCATAGACTTCGCAGTTGTAGGACAGCACATACACTTCTAGGGCTCTTCAGTGGAAGGGACCGTGTCAACCCCAGGTAGCCGTTGGTCCCAGGCTTGCACACCCCGTGATGACCAGGACATGCCATGCAGATGCCGTTTTGCACTCGGCAGCAAGTTGGAGAGCAGGAAGTCCCCATGTGTTTTTTTCTTGTGTGTTTTTCCTCTGGTCAGTGAGCAATTTATGTCCATGTGACCCAGAGACTTGAGAACCTAACAACTTAGTATCAGTAAAATTTTATTTATTTTTTTATTTTACTTATTTATTTATTTTTCTGGTGGAATCCAGGATTGAACTCAGGCCCTTGCACTTGCCAGGCAAGCGCTTTTTCTACTGAGCTATCTCCCTGGCCCCAGTAAAATTTTAATTAGTATCCTTTTTGTGGGTTTTATTTTTTTCTCAGTTTTATGCTGAGGTTTTTTTTTTTTTTTAATTAAAAAACCTTTTTTTTTTTCTAAGTTATAAAGTTCATTGTCTGAAAAAGGATGATAGAAGGGGAACCAAGTTTAGGGAATATTGTACTCGAATGTGTATGACCTTATCCCTCTAGACAAACCTCTGAGCTACCCCGAGACTTTGCCCTGTGGCTGTGAGCTCTGCTGTGAATGGGCCTTTGCAGTGCTCCTTTTGCGGTGTTGGATTATTTTGGCCCACAGAGTAAAATTAGCAAAACTCTAATACGGTAGAGGAGAATGTATGGCATTCACTTGTGGAGGAAGAACTAGGTAAAAATACTGTGCCAATCAGTGGCACATTGTTTCTTTTTTCAATTCCACTGCCTCTGCAGTGGCCCAGGATGGGTCTCATGCAAGGCGCGAGTCATGTCTCTGAGTAGCTCGCCTTGGTGTCCGGGTCTTAGGACAGCCATATTTGGATCTCATTTCATTGTGAAAGTTCAGTTTCTCCTGTTTTAAAAAATATAACTGTTTTCTTATTTTTTATATTTACTTTTAGGAATTTCATGTTTCTGAAGATTTTAATAAAATGAACTTCATCAAGACCTATCCAGGTAAGTGTGGCGCACCTGTACACTTTCTAGCGAAGAGATACACGTAGACACACATAGAACTAGAGCATCATCTCTGTGATCAGACGCAGTCTTTCACATTAACTTTATAGTTACCGCACTGAGAGACAGTTATTTACTGTTCTTTCCTCATTAACGTTTAACATTCTGTGTATTGGGTGTGTGTATGGACTTCTTTGCCATTCTATTACTGTGCATAAAGAGCCCTTTTGGTTTTTATTAACTTCCTGCTGTATACAGTGTACGTGTTTGTGTGCACGTTTGCACATGTACCTGTGCATCTATGCAGCCTTCCTCATTTAATGACAGTTCTGTTCCTGCAATTAGGTCCTTGAATGAACTGCTTGCTAAATGAGGAATTACATAGAGTATGCACAGTACATTATTCAGAAAAAGAAATGGACAAAGGAGCTCTAACTTGGTAATTTTGCCTTTATGTGTTTAACTCTTACATGCTGGATTGCAGTGTGTCAGAGAACGTAGACTACAGTACTGTACTGTGCAGTGTGCAGCAACAAAAATCACAGCACTGTGCTGTGGAAGAGGCCACCCTAAGGCGGGGCTGCGGCTCGCTTTCCTGTGCCTGACAGCTGTTTACACACGGGCTGTCACACAGAGAATATCAGCTTACAGCTCTGTAAGACTGGGGTCATGGGCGCCATGGGCTGTTCCTCTGACTCTTGTACTGTGACTCTGATCATTTCTGTAAAGACAGATTGCTACACCTGGAAATAACTGAGTCAAATATTTGAAAGGTTTGTAAATCCTCCAGATCAGGGTTGGCATACCTTTTACAGCTTTCAGCGGTACGTCCAGCTCTGCGCAGCACGTGTGCTGCCAGGAGGCTCACCACACTGCTCTAGATGTTTTGCAAACTCTCAGCCCTAAGAGACTTTTTACAATCCCGTGCATAGTGGTTGAGAGCCCTTACTCCTTGAGTCTTCGCAAGTTTTTTTCTTGCCAGGTTGGTAGTTAGTTATCAGTTTGAAAATTATTTAAGCTTCACTTACAATTTTTTCTGGTTTTTAACTCTATATTATACTTTGAGATGTTTTTACCCTTAATGAAAACAGACTTCCATGTTAACTTGAGATTGAAATGGCAACTCAAATAATAAATTGTGGTTTCCCAACAGACAATTAGCTGATTCCTAGAAACTTTACCTGAGGTGTAGCAGCCTCAAATTTTGTATTTCAGGCTGTGGATAAAGGTGAAATTAGAGTCCAGATGTGTTAGGTAAATGTAGTTTATCTTGGGGAGTTTTGGTCTTGGGGAATTTTAGGACCCAGGGAAAACATTTCTTGAACTTACACAAAATTGCTTTTCCCAACATATTGTTAACCTGTTCCTAATTTAAGAGAAAGATGCAGACATGACCATGGACTTGAGATTGATATTTCATTCCTGGAAACTGTATTGTGACAGTGAGTGACAGTCCTGCATTGTTGACTAATGTACACTCATTATCATATTATTATGACTGAAACAACTTTGAATTCTCAGTTGTTACAGCACATGGATCTTTTCAAAAAGCCAGAATCTAAGCCTTTTACATTCTTTAAATATATAACTAGTAATTTGGAGACCTCTTACCATGTGCCTGACCAATGTTTTTGCCAAAAACCAAATGCCTTAAGAAGTTATTTTATTTGCCATCAATTTTTCAATATTATTTCTCATTTACATGCCTTACTATACTCTGTTTTGATTGTCAGTATCTGTATAGGCTTAAGGTATAGCAATTTTTTTTTTGTCAACTATCAGTTCTTTAAAAAGTGAAGCAAAATAAGCATTACCATATTTCACTATAATTTCATAAAAGAAAGGACATCTAAAAAGTAAAATGGCAGAAAGGATGTAATCTTAGAAATAGGACAAGTCTTCCTGAGAAAAGGTAATTGACTCCAGCATCTTTGTCCCAAGCTCATATAAATCTTGTCACTGCCCTGAGTTTGACAACTGCAGATTTAAATAAAAAGATGTCTGGGGCCAGACAGATCAAGTTAATCTATTACTTCCAAGACTTTGGGCATGGATTCAATGAACTGAATGTTTGTATCTCTGTTATTTTGGAATAGAGAGCTTTGAAATACTTCATCTTTATAAGTAATAGTTACACACAAAAATTATTTCAGAAACAAAACGTTCTGTTACTTTTTTCATTATAGGAAATTGCAGGTGCTTTTTACAGTGCCCGTGTTTTCCAACCTCTGAAGGAGGAATAAACAATTTTTAAAAATTGCTCTATTAACAAAAGACTGCTTCCTTCTGCATGGAACTCTCATATTTAAGGTTTTTAAAAATAAACCAGAAATGTTTTCTCGAGCATAGCCATACAACAAACTAGGACAGCCCAGACAACAGCAGACACCGTTCTCTAAGCTGTTGCTAAGGTGCCTTTGAACGGTGCTCTTCGGTGATCTGCGGCCCAGCAACCCCCGCGGGCACAGTGGCTTCTGCGGGTCACGCTTCTCCCTTTCTCTGCCGGCAGCTCATCAGAACAGGGTGTCTGCCATCATCTTCAGCATGGCCACGGAGTGGGTGATCAGCACTGGCCACGACAAGTGTGTGAGCTGGATGTGCTCGCGGAGCGGGAGCATGCTGGGGCGGCACGTCTTCTCCTCCTGGGCCTCGTGTCTGCAGTATCCTTCTGGCCGCTGGCCGCTCCTCCGGGCCTCTTTTCCTTATAACTTGGTTTTGGATCTGGTCACCGGTTGTTAATGGAGATCCAGAGACTGGATGAGAGATTCCTATGTACTTCATGTAAAAATCCTAGAATTCCTTAATCCTTTTCTTTGGTATAAAATGGGTTTGATAAAATTAAATGAATTTGCTGTTCTCTGATAGGAAATGGCTGTTTTTAAAATATAAGATAATGGAAAACTCGAAGGCCTTGTTAATGCATCCCCTCCCTCTATTCCTTTGCATGGCAAATTGAAAAACTTTATTGTTTGAAGAGGAGAAAAGGAATTGATCTTCTGGTAATTGATTATTTTAC